CGGTTTCGAGCTCAACTTGCACTCATGTAGCATGAGCAATCTTTTTTGCTCGCGTGTAAGCTCCAGAGTGAAGCAAATACACAAGTGTTGTACATCAAAATGTACAAGAGATTGCGCGCTTTCAGACTACATCATAATCTTCGAAAATAATCAGCAAAAAATCAAAGAGCCATGAGCCTGAAAAAACGGCGGATAATTATTGCTGACCTAATAATTTAAATAAATTGCGGATAATAATTGCGACTTGCTTTATTCCTTTACCAGATTAGTCCCCCGTCAACCGCCGGGACCTTCCTTTCCTGCGCAAGCTTTCTATCCTCCGCTATGGTCCCTTCCTCCTGTGACACCAACACCTCGTGGAAGTGACGCGTATGCAACACAATGGTGTTTCATACAGTAGAAGGGACACAATCATGATATGACGGTAGATTTTTCGCTTCCCCTCTCCCCTCTCTCTCCACTGCCCTCCAGCTGCCACTGCAGCACCATGTGGAATGAACGGAAGTGTGCTAAGCAGGTGTTTATATAGCCCTAAGAGTGTTATCACAACTATCCTGCTACAAAACATTGATATCTCAAATCCTGTAAGCTACCCGATTTGTTAGCGGTTTGTTTATCCCATGAGCTTCCTTCTCACTCACTTCATTTTGCGGACGGACACACATACATACATACACACACACACACACACATACAGATACACAACCGACACACAAAGTTAGCGCTTTATAAAATAGAAGGATTATCATATACTTCTCATTATGGGCGGAACAAAAATTTGAAAGATTCAATTGTGATGCCGTTGATCAATCCCTTTTTGGGATGCGGCACGCATTCTACTTCCATTTGTACATTCGCAGTGGCATTTGAATGCGATGTGGCCTATACAATGACTTGCGGGGGCCAGCCGATGTTCAAGTCAGTGTTTTTATCCTCCCAGACAAGTCTGGTACCAATTAACCGACCCCGGAGGGATGGAAGGCTTGGTTGGCCCGGGCGACTCACGACCAGGTCAACCCTACGTTGGTACAAGTAACAACGGGGGGGTCGTACTCAGCTTGAGCTTGGAGGGGGGGGGGGGGGTTCGTGTACGATCTTCGTACTGCGTCGGCGGACTCTATTATAATGGGCCTCTACTGATAATAGGATAGACTGGTACAAAGGGAAGTTCGTCACACTCGGAAGATTGGAAGAAGTTGTTTACGCAAGAAAATTGATAGTAGAGCATCTGTAAGCCAGTTCCTTCTAAATGAGCTTTCCAATCGAATCAGCGAATCAGAAGCGCGGCCTAGGCATGGCGCACACCGAGGCAGGGTATGCCACTGCAAGCGCATGCTCGAAGCATTCTAACACTTCCTATGGTCAAAACGATATTGTTTTCTCTGGAGGTTGCGGCCTGTGAAACCTAAAAAAACCCACGTTCTTAAGAAAATGACTTGAAGAATGCCCCTTCAAAAAAAGTCCCAACGGGACTAATTTTTGAAAGTACTGACTTTTCAGGAAAGTTAGGGTACTTGTTAGAAAGCTCGAATCCTGTAGTTTTTCATAGCGCGTTCAGCTTCCCAAATGACTAACTTTGAGAGAAGTTATGATCGTATGAAGGTTGAAAAGTCGCGTTTGACCAGGAAAAAGTTCCAACGTGCTAAATTTTTATTAAATTAACTTTGAAAGAAAATTTAGACATGAGTGGAGAGAAAATAATTTAAATTTTTCAAATCAAATCACTTCGCCGCAAAAGCTTGAATACGAAGAAAGTTATAGGGCTAGAAAGTGGAAGGTAAAAATTGCAGTGCAATTTCATTTCTTGCTTAATAACTTAATTACTTCAGATTGTTTAAGAACAAATTCGCTCTACTTAAAAAGGATGAGCCTCGGTGATCCAAAATCCACCCCCGTCTTCCGAGGAACCTGAAAATTTAAGAGGAAAAATTTGTTTACATTTCAATATCCCCTTCGTCACCAGTAATCGATCAGCAAACGCGCCCCATTGCCACGACCATTGCCAGGGCGCGCGATCCACACCGTTCGAAACGATCAATACGCGTTTCCACTTCTTTTGGTTTCGTTACTTGTTGTTCCACTTTTACCTTTTTTTTTACTTTCTTATCATTTTGCGTTTCGTCGACCATCGTTCGTAATGTACCCTCGTTTGTTTTCGTCGGGTCTCTTACGGGTAAGGACTGGGATGCCGGTTGCGTTACAATGCACAGTCAGATCGGATGAAGTCATCCCTTTTTGGAGGGGGGAAGCTCAGGGGTGGGTGTAAAAGTTTGAGCGAAATGGTTTACGCTCCCTTTCCCGAGGGAGCGTGAACCATTCGCACAAATTTTTACACCCACCTCTGAGCTTCCCTCCTCTCCAAAAAAGGGATTACGCAGTATGCGTTCTACTTCAATCTTTTCCAAGCGCAAAATGAAATGAAAATTTATTGTTTTGCAAGCGGAAAATGAAGTGAAAATTTATTGAAATGAGTTAAAGAAGAGTAAAAAATAAAAATGAGTGCATGAATTGTAGTATTACACAGTATTTATTAAGTATTACACACAGGGGGGGTCGTATCAATTCGCCCATGAAGGGGGGGGGGTCGTAAAAAATTTCCAAATAGTACCAACGATAGGGTTGACCCGCTCACGACCCAAGGATTTGATCCCGGACCGCTCGCGTGGTAAGCGCGCCACTTGTCACTACACCACTTCCGTCCCCTATGAGAACGTTAGTTAAGAAAAATAACACCTTTCAAATAAAGGAGTCCGCATCGAGTGTAAATTTATCTTTCACTTCATGAATGACGGAAGTGGTGTAGTGGCAAGTGGCACGCTCACCACGCGAGCGGTCCGGGGATCAAATCCTGGGTCGTGAGTCGCCCGGGCCAACCAAGCCTTCCATCCCTCCGGGGTCGGTTAATTGGTACCAGACTTGTCTGGGAGGATAAAAACACTGACTTGTACATCGGCTGGCCCCGCAAGTCATTGTATAGGCCACATCGCATTCAAACGCCACTACGAATGTACAAATGGAAGTAGAATGCGTGCCGATTGAGCAACGGTAGATGCTTTCTCATTTACCCGCTATAAAAAGGGAGTTTTGAAGATTGAAGAAATCTCGTGCTGGGCATAAAAACATGTGTAAAAACATAAACCACTAATACAGGCAGGTTGTACTGACACCCTCTGAAATGGGGGGGGGGATCGTGAAACCAGAAACCTGCGCAATGCTCGGTTGGGTTGCACGTTCCTTAAAGGCAAGAATCAGGATTAATTGATGGGTTGATTCCACTCAAATGTGAAAGTAGGGATGGGAGGTGGACCGCCAGTGGAGAAAAAAGGAAAAATCCTGAAATACACAGGAAATACGAGCATTTTGCTCCATGCTGTGGAGAAGTTCAAAAGACAGGCAGGGAGATGAGAGATAATGTGAGCGCGGAGAGTGGTAGAGAAGTCCGAGAAGAGAGAGCATAGCAGATCAACGTGGCGACGCAGACAAGATATCGAACGGTGGGCGGACCATGTTAAGTTTGGTGGAGTCTGTTAGAAGTCCATGGCGCCTAGGGTCCTAGTGACGCGTTTCGATGTAGAAAGGTGGCGCTACCTTTGCACTTGCGTACCCAGCACTTCTAGCCATGGTAAGGGCTTCTTAGGTGGGTCTGAGCCCGAACTTTGCCTTCAAAGCCCTACCGTCGTTATAAGAGCCCTGAAAGCTGGAACAAATGGAATCACCACATAGTACAGTATAGTATATAAAGACAAGTTTAACAATAAGTTTATTTCATAAGTACGTAAAACTCTATGTTATACACACATAGATATCTTGTAAATCAAGTAACACCATCGTTCATATCCGTATCGTAAATGGAACTGCAGCCAAGCATAGTCAATGCATGAGAAAACACGATCTTCAACGACACGCAGGCACTATAACTCTAACAAAGCGACAAAGCTGCTCATAATACTCGAATGTAATGCGTGTAATTAGAACCGAGTCTAGATCAAGTTTAAAATTGTCGTTTTTTATTACAATCGCTTTTGCGAGGTGTCGACCACGTGGGTGATGCCGGTACGATGCAGCGCCTCTAAGCAGTGCACGACTGTCGCACCCACTCAAGAAATTCACCGCGGTGTGTATCATTTCTTCCGATAGCTCGCTACCCACAATGCACATACGATTATCCCATCCGGCGATCGCGTCGGCAACCGCTTTTGTTGTAAATAACAACAACTATAAAGGAGAAAAATCAAATTTCATTTTCTTTACTCTCTTACATATATTATGTTATATTTTTTCTTCCCATGTGCAAGAGAAACGCCCACTTCCGACAAGATCGCGCCAAGCGGCAATCGTATTCATCGCGCGTGCGGACTTTAGCGGAAGAAAAACTACACACTGCGAGCGGCACATTTGAAAAACAGACACGGTTCACAGGATGTAAAATGATGAGATAATAAAGGGTACTTTGTACAATAACACAAACTTGGTAGAAAACTGATAAATTTGGCTCTCATGCGACTACGATCGAGATAATACTACTATCAAGATATAAAACAAGTTTTGATGGAGGTTTTTTGGCTGAATGAGAATGCAGTGGTGAGTGATTGAGGTGTTTTCTGATATCAACAAAGTTATACAAAATGAACTTCATGGAAGTTCAGGAAAACGCGCTAGGCGCGTCATACCGCTCACTGCCGACATTTCGGCTGCAGCAGCAACTGGAAGGTTACGTCGAAAGGGTACAATTGAAATGAGTAACCAGAACGATTATGTTAAATGCAAAATGGATCTTCTCTAATATGATGGAAAAAAGAACAAACTAACGACACATAGGAAAATGCCTGATAAACTTCTCATAATCGGAGACCTCTCTTAACATCCTCCAAAGACACACGCTGCCGGAAAACCTCCGACAGAAACAACAAAAACCGGGACAACAGAACTGAGCGCCAAAAACTAGCGTCAATTCCGCATTATCACAATCTCGCCACCTGGTTGCTTGCAACAAATACGACCTATCCGCTCGAAGGCTTTGTCGTTCGACACAGCTTACGGGGACGCCTTCGCTTCTTCTCCTCTTCTGCTTGGACCTTGAACTCCACCGTTTTAGAGGGCGATTTCAGCTTTTCTACGATAGCAGAAAGATTATCCATCATCTGAAAAGGTGCATATCAGTAGCACATGAAAGTAGTGACTATCACATAAAATACTCAGAAACAAATACAAAGCCTTTGACTTACAAAAAAAATAATTGGACCAAAAAGAGCATCGAAGAAACACAGCAAAAAGGGGAGGAGATCAGAAAGCATAGAGAATAAAGGATCAAACAAAAAATGAACAAAATCACCAAAAGCCTCCAGAAAACTACCACACAGGGAGAGTAAAGCCTATCAGACGGAAGACTTCATAGACCAACAGTGCAAGAAAGATTAGAGAAAATGAAAAGTGAGAACAAAAAAGGGAAATCTTCGAGAAATTTGAGAAATGAAACCACAGACCATTAAGCTAAATACGAAACTCACTATTCGCTTCGAATTCACCCCTTCGCTAGCATCTTTGTCTTTCGATGACGACTTCGACTGAGACGAAGATGACGGTGAGGATGAGTCCACGATGAACGGCTTAAACAATGTACATCAAGAGCATGTACATGGAACTTGAAAACTTGGTAAAAAAAAGTGATCTTAGGTAGAAAACAAAATCACAAAAATACCACGTACCGTGAAATCTCTTTTTATTGTGATAGGCTCGTCAAACTTTCGGAACACGTACGGTTGCGTATTGATCGGATATCGATTTTTGCTCGGGATCTTCTCGAAACTTCGTTGATTGCGATCAATTTGGTATTCGCAAAGGTACACATCTTCTTCCTTGAAAGTAAGAAAACTCTCGATGGTGATATTTATTCATTAGCATACGGTTGCTGAACGGTGATCGTGGCAGTGTTTGAAAATTAACTCACTGCTCAAACTATATTAAAGGATCATTTACGAAAAATTCTTGCATTTCTTCCCAACAAGAATACATCAGTTGTGATCACTGGAGAAAACATAAGAAGTTCCACGCAGGAACTCAGCTTTTGAAAGAAAGAAAGCCATAAAACCACTCTGCGCACGATCGCTGGTGCATCAAGCGGGAGCGCATGGAGATGAGTGCACCTGGGGCAACCAGCAGATGCTTTGGAAGAATGTAATCAAGGCGTTATTTGGAGGGTACAGGTTGGGCCGACATCGTAGTAAGCAAAAAATCACTAAGAAGGAACATAAGCTCAATAAAATAAATAAGACTACGAAAGTGTTGGCTAGTACTGCAGAGCAAAAGTAGGTTGGGTTTGAGAACCATTGCCTATTGCTTTAATCAAGGCTTCAGATGAGAGGAAGACTATGGACGGTGACAAAGGTGGACGCTGACACTGATCCCAAGTTTTTTGTGGTGCCCTCTCTAGGATATTAGACATTTTGGGGTACGAGTTTGCTCTTGCTTCCAGGTTCTACCGCGCAGTTAATCCAGCCGAGTTCGGTGGAGAATTTCTAGTTAACAGTTGTTCACAGACAAGGACTTCGAGAATTACTTTCTGACGGACTTTTGCCTTATTAGTGGGTGCTTTATCGTGCAGAGACATCGAAAGTGATGTGTTCTAGGTTTCTTGTCCATGACAGACATTAGATTTGAGAGTAACCAAGTGGTCCTTTACATCATTTTTTTTGTTCATTTTGGCAATACGAATGACGCGAGCAGTCGCAAGGAGGAGGATAGCGAGATTCTGCATTTGATATTTGTCCTCGTGTTAACTGTAACCTTCAATCTCCTGGTCATTGCCATCTTTAGGAGGCGCTGTAAGAACTGTGAGCATTCAACGTTACAAGCGACCGTGTTTGTTACGTGGGCAGTTCGCGTATTATAACGCCGGACGCCATTTGCCGGTGTCGATCGAGGACATCAGATTTACCAAGAACCGGTACGTGCTGATTTTGAGAAATTATTTGCTTTCAATAGGAAGATGCCATCGTCTCCTATTACAAGGGGGGGGGGCAAAAAAATTACCTCCCCTCACATTCAAAACGGAATTAATTACATGTTGCAAACCAAAGCAAATGAAGGCCGACTGAATGTTAAAGAGCAAGTTTCTAATTCTTATACAAAAATGTTTGCCAGAGGCACCCCGGCTACACCGGAAGAGGTCAGAATGATTTTTCCATGGAAAACATGATTTCAGTACGGGCTCAGAGAGGTCGTCGTGGTTATAGAACATTACGACGTCCCTGAGAAGCTGGTCAAAAGCGGTCTTGCATGGTCACAGCTAGTGTCTCTAGCAGCTATTGAGCGGATGAAAGATTAAAGAAATTATGAAGCAGCTTCAGAGTGAAGGCGACTACGGGTGAGCCTTACAGTTGAGGGTCGGCCGGGACAGCAGGTGGAGCGTCATATTCTGAAAGGATAGCGGGCGGGGGCAGTGAAGCAGGCTGTGTCGTGTGTGTAGAGGAACAATTAAGGATATTTTTGCATAAAACTTCATCACAACCGGGAATCAAGACGGCACCTCTGCCAGAAAAAATTTGTGGTGTGCACCATGCGCGAAGCGATTCCTTTTTTTTTTTTTGCTCCCGCCCCCTCTCCTTTATACATATTAGTACCGCAAAAGAAGGAAAAATTATATGCTAGGAAAAAGGGTGAGGTCTGGACGTGGGCGATGGGCCGGCTGACCGTAGTTTTTGGTTACCCGTACGAGCAAAACATTAATATAATTGAGGAATTGCAACGGTTTAGGGGAAGTGTTTTTGCTAGAGATCAAGAAAGATCAAAAGATTTTTGAGTGACGGCACTCCAACAAGCAAGTGGAACATTCCTGTGACACATTTGTGACAGATGTACCCGCAAATTTGAATGCGTAGCAGTGCTCCTAGTTTTCGAATTGCTTATCCAACGGAAAGCCTTTTTTTTGCTTAACCCGTGCTTATCGTGCATGCACCGGGCAGCGAAGGCTCGGTGGTGTGTGGCGCGCGTGACTCTAAAGCTAATGAATTAATGCGGGACAGAGAGAGGAGCTTCTATTCGAGGGACCACGCCCTTCAAGGAAAAGCAGTCTATTTTAGCAGGCTGCACTCCTCGAAGGGGAGATCTCTGACCACTGCAACTGCCACTGCCACTGCAACTGTAGCGCCAATAAGAAAAATCAAGTAGATCCCATAATTTAGTCAAGAACATATAACGTAATTATAAGTTTACTGCAACTCCTGCTTCCTTCGCGCTCTTACACTCTCTTTACAGAGATTTTGCCTCAACAACTTGATAGTTTGCGTTAAACAGCGAAACGAATAAAAATTCAAAATGCGAAATCTTCGCATTGTTCTAGCAAAATCTTACCTTGAATTTCGGCACTGTTGGTCTGCCAAGACACCAAACTGAAGGATCTAACACAGTGCATCGTCCGACAACAGCGTCAAGAGGGAGCGTATCATACAGCGGAGTTGCAAATACCTATAAACAAAGCTTTGAACTGAAATTAATACGAAACCGTCTTCGTGGCCTCACTCCTGCTTGTTTGTTTTTCGAACTGTCGGCAAACTGAACCTCACCTCATTCCTATGGAATATCCGCTGCGAATCGCAAAACGTCTCATGGGGTCGAGCATAATAGAAACCGAACACAAAACGATGACCGCCCGGAGCAGAGAAGAGTCGCTCCACTCGGAACACTCGCAAATCCTAAAAGAATTACGAATAAAACAGATACACCATAGAACATAAAAAACAGCTCGAAATTCAGCGATGCGAAAAAGTACCTTTCGATGGAACGTTTCGGGAGAAAGACGGTCTTGAGCTGCTGATGGAATGTCGTCAAACTTTTCCTCTCCAGCAACCTCGTCTTTCTTTCTCTTCTCATTAACATCCATCAACTTTTTCAAAATCTTCTTATGCTAAAAAAGCACATCAATCAATGATCGCTCAGTTTGAAAAAGCTCAATCGATTCAAATACTGGTAAAAAATATATGCAAATATATCCCATAATTTTATAAGTAGAAAAGAATAGTAATCAAACCCGTACAAGAACAACTCACATCATCTCTGATTGCCCTCTGAACGTGAACGGTCTCATTGAGTCGGACTTGAATTGAGCGGTTGTTGGTTAATGCCTGAAAGCATCTATCATAATGGGCTTTTCTGGAAAAACTAATTTCAATGGCACTTTAGAAAGATGCAGAAAGAGAAGCACATGTATTCCGCAATAACAGTTGCAATTAAGGATAAAACAACTGTACCTTGTAATAAGTGCAACCATATAATCGTATGTCAGGCTGTTTTGCAAGGATTACATCGCTGCACGGACGCCCACCGGATATGGCACCATGACAGAACTGACACTTGTATTCCTAAATGAGAAATAGAGAAATCACGAGCAGAGAAATAGAGCACAAATTCAAAAGATTTAAACATCAGATATAAATATAATCGAGTGTCTGTTTCACTGAGTACCAATATTACAAGGCAGAAGCGATGTAGGGGCAAGTGGCGCTGTCGCCATCACGTGTGAGGGCCTAGGCCCAACCGCTGTATCGTGCCTGACTTTTACTGACCAGCCCCCGCAAGTCATTGTATAAGCCAAATCGCAATCAAAATGCCACTACAGTTTTGAGTGGAAGTGAAGCGCGTTGTATTTCAAAAAAGGAAATGATCAACACCGGATTCCTTAGCTTCTCATACAAGTACTGAGAGCACCCAGCCCTTTCGCGGATGACTGCTAGATGTGACTGATTAGTAAAGAAAAATCGAGTTTTGCGTTCCTTCGTTATGATTTCTCGTTGTTCCGGATCGTCACGCCTTACGCGAGCTTGGAATACCCAAAAAGTAAATGGGCAGAAATAGAAGATAGGAATATCTATACATATACACAATGATTCAAATGAGCTGATCTTCCACATATGAGAGGATCCATCGCTGATGTTCAAGCCTTATTCCTAAAAAAAAGTCCCGTACCAGTTCACCGATCAGGGATGGATGAAACCCTTAGTTTGGCTGGGGCATACTTCAATATTGAGTTTGATACTTGGACCGTGGCAAGTGGACCCAATTACTGCTACACAGCTTGCGCCTCTGTGCAAAAAGCGCACCCTCCC